ATAGAAGCCCTTTTAATAGACACAAACAACACATACCTTAATAGTACACAAGTGTTCCTCTTCAAAATAAACCCTTTTCAACTACTTTACTTTTTCATGTTTGTTGCTGAAAGCAGGGCCATTTGAGATGGCCACCATCTCAATGATATCTAGTTTCATTAGAGGACAGGGGGTGGCCAGAGAGAGGGGGGTTATGATCCCTAAATATACCATTTAATATGTTATAATACAAAGGCGGCTTTGGGGTTTCCAATTTTATTAGCTCTTCTGAGCCAAAGGCTCACAGAGCTAATGCTATGGCCATTTTGTGCGGTGTGGGTAAACTTTTTAGAATATGGGCCATAACTCAAGAACCCCTAGGCCAATTATTATCAAATTTGTCACAGGGTATCCTTGGCCCAAGGGCTCCTATTTATACTAAAACTAGGGTTGTGACCCTTAAACAAGGGGAGATAATTAGGAAAAAAGAAACAAAAGTACTGGTTGCTAAAAAATCTTCTTCTCAAGAACCAGTGGACAGATTGTCACCAAACTTACACAAAAGGATGAGGATATGTTGAAGATTAAAAATTGTTCAAGGCATCACCATGGGGCAAAGGGCGTGGTCTCAAGGTCACTTCAAAGTTGACCAAAAATTACATTTTATTAAAATATTGATATTTTGCTTACTAGGATCATGAAATCTTGTCAGTTGATGCATCTAAGGACCTCAATCATGCTGACTCAAAAGTGGGTCACGGTGACCTACTTTTCAAATTTTGTGGCCATTCTTTTTCAAAATGATTCAGAGGCATATTTTGAACAATTTAAGACCTATGATCATCAAACTCTATCAGTTGATGTATCTTGGGACCTCAGAGTACGTCAACTAAAAAGTAGGTCACCTTGACCTACTTTTTGAATTTTATGGCTAATCTTTTTCAAAAAAATTAAGGTCATTAATTGGAATACTGAGAGGTTTAGAATCATTAAATCTTGTAAGATGATCCCTCTTGGGGCCTTAAAACATATTTATTAAAAATTAGGTCAATTTATATGACTATAATCAAATATTTCGGGTACTAATTGGCTTAGAATCATCAAACTTTGTCAGTTGATGCATCTTGGGTCTTCGGAGTAGGTCGACTGAAAAGTAGGTCACCATGACCTACTTTTAAAAATTTTATGGCTTTGATTAAATATTTCGGGTACTAATTGGCTAAGAATCAACTTTGTCAGTTGAAGCATCTTGGGTCCTCAGAGTACAACAGCTGAAAAGTAGGTCACCGTGACCTACTTTCAAATTTTTATGGCTGTATTTAATATTTTCAGGTACTATTTGGCTTAGAATCATCAAAATTTGTCAGTTGATGTGTCTGGGGTGCTCAAAGTATGTCATCTGAAAATTAGGTCACTGTGACCTACTTTTGAAATTTAATGGATATAATTTTAAAAATATTTTAGGTATTAATTGGCTTAGAATCATCAAACTTAGTTGATGCATCTAGGGTCCTCAGAGAATGACAAGTGATGAGTAGATCACCATGACCAACTCTCAGGTACTAATTGGCTTAGATTCATCTTGAGTTCTCAGAGTGTTTCATCTAAGATGTAGGTCATGATGACCTACCTTTGGAATTTCAAGGGTTTATCTAAATATACAGGATACTTAGAGACTTCGAATAGAAGTGATATGTTGTACAGTTTATCCAAAGAGCGATTCAATGCCCTTGGGCCTCTTGTTATTCATGAAACATTCAAATTTTTTCATTGTAACAAAACTTTTTTCCCATAAAATAATTCTCAATATACAAATGCTTTTTATATATATGCAATGTGAAATGCAATATAATCATGGTACTAAATATGTCATGAATGCCGTTACAAGTTATGACCAGATCTTTTACTTTCCAAAGAGGGTCATGACCTTCTTTTTACATGTTGAAAGTTGGCAAGTATGTTGCCCTAAACGATTACATGTACCTATGACCATAGGATGTGTCATTTTATTAAACAAAGGTCAAGGTCACATTTAGAAAATTATATATTGGTACTAGGAAAATTTACAGTAGGGGTATAATTTTGTGTGTTCATTGGCAATACCTCTAGTTTTTATTGACTTAGGTTTGTTAAAAGTTTTTGGGTTTTTTCATTGAAAATTCTTGCATATTAAATATGCTGTATTCATTGTATTTTTTGTCCCCCGCTTTCACTGAAAGTCAGGGATATTAATTTTGGTCTGTCCTTCCGTCTGTATTTCTGTCTTTAACACTTTCGTTTCTGTGCAATATCTTGAGAAACCTTTGAGCTTTTGCAATGAAATTTTAAATAACAACTTTCTGTGGCCTTAGAAAGGCCCCTATTGATTTTGAGGTCAAAAGGCTAAAGGTCAAGGTCATAAATTGATAGAAAAAAACTGTCTGTTTTAACACAGGTTTCTGTGCAATATTTCGAGAAGTCATTAAGCTTTTGCAATGAAATTTTACAACACAACTCCCTGTGGCCTAAGGAAGACCATATTAATATTGAGGTTAAAAAGGTCAAAGGTCAATGTTGTAATTCATACATTCTCTCTGTGTGTAACACTATTGTTTCCGGGCGATATCTCAAGAAGCTTCTGAGCTTTTGCCATTAAAAATTATACTCTCTATGGACCCGCCCCTCTAAAAGTGTCCTGCCCCCCTTATTTTGATCATTTTTTTTTCCTCAAATGAAATTCTTGGCATCAATCACGCTCCAAGTTTTAGAGTTACTCCCCGTTTGTATGAAAAGTCGTTTGGCACTATTTTTAGCACATGTGGAGAGTCATTACATGTAATACAGGTTGTCATGGACTTTATGTTCTAATTACGTCTATTAAAACTGTTTAGTATTAAAAGGCTAAATTAGACATGTGTAAATTTTTGACAATATCCAACGTAAATATATGCATATATTTGCATTTGATTTGTATCAAAGTTAAGCAGTTTGTTAGTATAGGGGTAGGATTCTCGTTTTGGATGGGGGTCCTGGGTTCAATTCCCAGATGGTCCTGTATTTTTTTTTTCTATGAAATTCTTTTCCATTTACTAAATGATAGCATTCAACATATGAAATAAAGAATTTATGACATCTGCCGTGTACAAATCTCCTCATCAAATCATTGTTACAGTGTGATAATTATATTATATAAAAAGAATCTTCTGTACACATTTTTAGCTCACCTGAGCCGAAGGCTCAAGTGAGCTTTTCTGATCGAAATTTGTCCGTTGTCTGTCGTCGTTGTTGTCATTGTCGTTGTTGTCATAAACTTTTCACATTTTCATCTTCTTCTCCAGAACTACTGGGCCAATTTCATTCAAACTTGGCACAGAGTATTCTTGGGTGAAGGGGATTCAAATTTATTCAAATGAAGGGCCACGCCCTCCTCCAAGGGGAGATAATTACAAAATAGTGAAAAATTAATGGCATCATTGAAAAATCTTCTAAAGACCCAATTAGCCAGGAAAGATGAAACTCATGTGGAATCATTGTCAGGTAGTGTAAATTCAGATTTGTTCAAATCATGACCCCCGGGGGTAGGGTAAAGGCCACAATGGACGATCAAAGTTTTACAAAGCAATATATAGGAAAAATCTTCTTCCCAAGAACAGCAAAGCTATGATTGGTCACATTTACATGGAAGCATCCTCAGGTGGTGTAGATTCAAGTTTGTTCAAACCATGACCCCCGGGGGTAGAATGGGGCCACAATGGAGAATCAAAGTTTAACATAGGAAGATATACACATTGTAGTAAAATTTTCAAAAATCTCCTTCTCAAGAACAGCAAAGCCATGATTGGTCATATTTATATGGAAGCATCTGCAGGTGGTGAAGATTCAAGTTTGTTCAAATCATGACCTCGGGGGTAGGGTGGGGCCACAATGGATGATCAAATTTTACATAGCAATATATAGGAAAACCTTCAAAAAATCTTCTTCTCAAGAACAGCAAAGCTATGATTAGTCATATTTATATGGAAGCATCCTCAGGTGGTGAAGATTCAAGTTTGTTCAAATCATGACTGCCGGGGGTAGGGTGGGGCCAGAATGGATGATCAAAGTTTTTCATAGGAATATATGAGAAAAATCTTTAAAAATCTTCATGAAAACAGCAAAGCAATGATTGGTCATTTTTTTGTGAAAGTATCCTCAGGTGATGTAGATTCAAGATTGTTCAAATCATGACCCCTGGGGGGTAGGGTGGGGCCATAATGGACAATCAAAGTTTAATATAGGAGTATATAGGAAAAATCTTCAAAAATTTTCTTCTCAAGAACAGCAAAGCTGTGATTGGTCATATTTATATGGAAGCATCCTCAGGTGGTGTATATTCAAGTTTGTTCAAATTATGACCTCTGGGGGTAGGGGGGCACAACGGATGATCAAAGTTTTACATAGGAATATATAGGAAAAATCTTTTAAAATCTTCATCTCAAGAACAGCAAAGCTATGATTGGTTATATATATGTGAAAGTATCCTCAGGTGGTGTAGATTCAAGTTTTTTCAAATCATGACCCCCCAGGGATAGGTGGGGCCACAATGAAAGTTCAAACTTGTAGGGAAAAAAGTCACAGTCAAAAAAAAATATTTTAGCATCCTTAGTGTAGATTCAATTTTGTTCAATTCATAACCCCCACCCCACCCCCAACCCACCCCCCACTCCCTTTTAGGGGTAGGTCGGGACCACTTATGCATTTAAGATTTTCATTTTTGCTTTTTTCCTAGCCACAGTGCTCAGGTAAGCAATGTGGCCCCTGGGCCTCTTGTTAAGAATAAGCAATCAAATATCTATATATCCATATTGGCATTTTCTATTCCCTTCAGTATATACATTTCATAACTCTGCACAAATCCAGGGGGGGGGGGTTAGACCCCCTCACTTCTAGATCTGCGCATGCTCTTCTTTTTTCCTTAAGCGAGGGACACAAATTCTCTGAATTAGCTTGATTTTTATATCTTTTAAATCTGATGAAATAAAATTCCTGAACTAGAATCACAGACATTGTTATAGGGAGGAAAGAAACAGAAATGCAGACTGTCCTGTGTGTAGTGCCAATTTGAATAAGCTTGGACAACGCCTACCCTATGCACATTGTGCAAATTCCAAATTGATTTGTTCAATTTCAGGCCTTCCACTCAATGAAAACAATCCTCCAATGGCATTACCTAATGGACATGTATACGGCTACAATGTAAGTATACAATTTCCTTCTATTGAAAGCATAGTGCTTAAGTATGAGTTGTCCAAAACAGTGATTCCATGAAAATTGCCCAATTTGTACAGAATCCAGACTTGTAAAATAATGTAGGAAAATATTTAAGTTTTATTAGGGCCCCTCAAGGATTTGTGGGTGCCCTATAGTAATCACTGTCTGTCCATCTGTCTGTCCTGTCATTCTTCCATCCACAAATTTTCTGTTTTTTTTTTTCTAATAACTTTTTTTAGGGTTGACCAATTAAGTTCAAATTTGGTATGTTGGTTGAATAGGCAGTAAAACATATTTTGATGCTAAGTTTGGTTCTCTTTGTCACCCGGTTTGGAGCTGGGATGGTGGGGTAGATTCCTTAACTTTATGTAAGAGTGAATGTGCAAAGAGAGATAACTGCTGAAAATGTTCCTATTGTAAACTATGAAACCTGCAATGAGTCTCTTGGGATTAATTAACTTTCCTCTTGAAGAAAATCCAAAGCATTTATCGATCTTTATCTATCACAATGAGATTAATTAACACCTCTGCAAATGAAGTTTGTTTTGAAGTTAAGGTCAATTCTGAATGATGTTTACATTCTCTGTTCATATTTTATTTTGGTAAAATACACAATGAGTAATGATTTTATTGAATTCTAAAAACAAGATATAGAAAAAGATATATTTTTTATTATTTTTTTTTCTTTTTTTTCCTTTTTTTCTGCCTTATGTAAATTCAAGAATACTAGTTATTTTAACAGGTATTCAGATAATAACTTCATAAAATCAATGCTGAAAAAGTTCTTATTGTGAACTTAGAAGAAAAGGTTGAGAGAGAGAGAGAGAGAGCAGTATAATTAATTCCCTGGGATTGATTATCTTGCTGGTTGCAGAAAATTTTAGAGGGTTTATTAATATCTTTCTGTCACTTTTAGATTAATTAACAGCTTTGTCTGCAACTGATGTTTGTTTTGAAGTTAAGGTCAAGCCTGGGTGATATTTGCATTCACTGAAGGCTGGCATTTTAGAAAACACATGCTTCATTCTTCTTTAAATATACATTAAATTGAGTTATTGTCTCCCGCGTGGTGCAGTGGTTAGAGCGTCTGCTCTAGTGTTGCAAAGTAAGGAGTTGATCCTTTCGTCGCGGGTTCGAATCCCACTGTGGGACGTGGAGACCGGTCCTTCGGATGAGACCGTATAAACCGAGGTCCCGTGTCGCAGTAGGTGCTGGCACGAAAAAATACCCTCACTGCTCAATGGCCGTAAGTGCCGAGTATAGGACAAAATTTGCAGCTCTCCACCGGCAAATGGTGGCGTCTCCATATGAGTGAAAAATTCTCGAGAGGGACGTTAAACAAAATAAAATCAATCAATCAATCGAGTTATTTTTAAGATATGATGTTTTTTACTGCCTTATGTAAATACAAGGATACTATTTACAGGTTGTTGGATATTTTGGAATTATCTTGAAATTTATAAATACATTTGCTGTTGCTTATTTTTCTTTATATAATTTTAAATTTTTGTAATCAAGTTAAATTCTCATCCCCTAATCTGCAGGGCCCTTGCTGACTGGTCAGATTTCTAGTTTCCCTTTGTTTCATTCACAAGTATGGTGTATAATTCAATAATATTTTGCCATGATATACAGTATATCATGACATAATAGATTTTCCATTGTCTCTCATCATTGTCATAAACTTTTCACATTTTCATCTTCTTTTTAAGAACCACTGGGCCAATTTCAACCAACTTGGCACAAAGTATCCTTGGGTAAAGGGGATTCAAGTTTGTTCAAATGAAGGGTCACACCCTCTTCCAAATGGAGATAATTAAGAAATGGTAATAAATTGGGTGGGGTAATTTAAAAATCTTCTTTTCAAGAACCACTGAGCCAGAAAAGATGAAACTTAGACACAGTGTAGATCCAAGTTTGTTTAAATCATGACCCCTGGTGCAATTAAAGTTTTACATAGGAAAATATAGGATAAATCTTTTTAAAAAATCTTCGCAAGAAGAGCAAAGTCATGAATAGTGATATATGCTGGAACTCCCAAACATTGAACTCTCTTTATTTGAAAAATCCATTAGTTTAAATTTAATTTAGTTTCCCTTAGAAAATTGGTACAGTTTTTTTGTTGAAAATACTTGTTTGTATTTGAATTGGTTAAATTGAAAATCTCTGCAAATTTGAAGTGATTTTGAGGTCCGCTAAACACAAAGTATGTTTTTTGGTAACGGTTACAGTGAAGTCACAAATTGTGATGCGTGGACACAGGTGACTGATTATAAACGAAGTCTAGCACAGATAATTTTTTTTCTAACACAGGTAAGTTGATATTGGTGGACTTGTAAAAATTCAATTATGTTTTGTATAAATAAAACAATTGAGCATTGTTGCAACCACTATTGAAAGAACACCCACTATTGAAATAATCATTTCAATAGTGGTTGAGATTGCTTTTCAAAACCAAAAACAGGTAAAAACTACTATTGAAATAACATTCACTAATGAAATAATTATTTCAATAATTTTTTTTTTTTTTTTCAATAAACCATTATTAAACAACGCCCACTTTTGAAATAAAAATTAGGATCAATTGATTTTTTATATCAGCAAGGATAAGTGTAGGCAGTGTGACCCAATGTCTCTATTGTCTATGAAATATACATACATAAATCTAAATGAAGAATAAATAAATATACCGATTTTCTTGTGATTATCATTATCTTCAGCAGATTTATTATCTCACATGTATGTAAAAGGAAATTATTCATGAAGAAAAAAGTACATATAGTAGGTTTTATTTCAATGTTACACCCACTATTGATATGACTCGCTATTTAACGAGGCCGATTCTAAAAGCACAGCTTTTTAGTTTCATGCAGTCATAGGTGCAACATAACACCTATCCATCTGTGACATTCATGGGTCTCAAAAATGTGCTTTTAAGATAATAATTAGGAATAAACGCTGAAATGGCTTTCACGACATCACTGTTTTCTGGTTCTGATAGCAATGCATGATGCTGAAGAAACTTGCTAACTTGCTTGGACATTTTATTAAAAACTGTTGACAGAACATCAAAAGAAACATACCAGCAATCTAAACATGGTTTTTTTTTACCAAAATAATCCATCTCCACCAATATATATACAAACTGTATGCCATAATATGGCAAATTTAGAGGTATTGGGTATTGGAAAAAATGAAATTTGTAATATTTCCTAGACCAAACCAGATGGTAAACTTTTTTTGAGTTTCCACAATTTGGTGCCTTTTTACAATAACTTTCATGTATTTGACTAAAAAGGAAATCCCTAGGGCAGAAATACAAAAGTATGGGGAAGATGTGATAATTTGGCCCTTTTCCAACAAATTCCAATAGGTTCCAATAGTTAAATTTGACAACTTTTGAGATACCCCCCTAAGAAATCGGGATGGTAAACATTTGATTTTTTATCTTAAAATAATTAGTATAATAGTAAAAATTCATTTAAGAAATTTTTTCAAAATATCTAGGGTAGAAGTAATTAGACTCGGCCTCGTTAAATAATTATTTTAAAGGTAAGCATTATTTAAATACTTTGTGGAAAAGCGGTTTTGGTTCTTAAATGCATTCTCATCCACTCCTAGAATGATTATGCCATTAGTCAATGTTATTTCAATAGTAATTGCAATATGGTTTTGCCTTTGAAATGCATTTTTAACTACTATTGAAATAATTATATCATTAGTAACATTATTTCAATGGTAGTTGCAACCCGTTTTTGCTTTTGAAATGCAGCCTCAACCACTATTGAAATAAGTATTTCAATAGTAGGCATTATTTCAATAGTGGTTGCAACATTAGTTAACAACGGGCAATCAAAGTTTTCCACAGGAATACATAGGAAAATTTTTTTTAAAATCTTAAGAACAGCTAAGCCATGATTGGTCATATTTATATGAAAGCATCCTCAGGTAGTATAGAATCAAGTTTGTTCAAATTATGACTCCTGGGGGTAGGATGGGGCCACAATGGGCAATCAAAGTTTTCATCGGAATACACAGGAAAAATCTTTAAGAAATGATTAATGATGTTCATAAAGAAGCATTGTCAGGTATTGCAGATTCAAATTTGTTCAAGTCATGACCCCTCAGATGAAGAAGGGGTAGGGGACACAACATGGTATCAAAGTTATACAAAGGAATATAAAGGATATATCAATAAAAGTTTTCTTCTCAATAACAGCAAGATCATGATTTGTCAGAAGCATTTCCAGGTATATTCAAGTGTGTTCAAATCATATCCCTGGGGTAGGGCAAAGCCACAATAGAAGATCAAATGTATAGGAAAAATGTACTTTAGCCATGATTACTCAAATAAATATTGAAGATCCTCAGGTAGTGTAGATTCAAGTTTGTTCAAGTCATCAAACCCCCTCCCCCAAACCACTTTTATATTCAAACTTTGCTCAGGTGAGCGATATGGCCCATAGACCTCTTGTTTCTTTTTCCATCTGCATATTTTTAGCTCACCTGAGCTGAAAGCTCAAGTGAGCTTTTCTGATCACCCATTGTCCGTCTGTCTGTAAACTTTTCACATTTTTAACTTCTCAAGAACCACTGGGCCAATTTTAACCAAACTTGGTACAAAGTATCCTTGGGTGAAGGGGAATTTAAATTATTAAAATAAAGGGCCAAGTCCCCTTACAAGGGGAGATAATCAAGAAAAGACAAAAATAGGGTGGGGTCATTAAAAAATCTTCTCAAGAACCACTGGGCCAAAAAAAGCTGAAACTTATGTGGAAGCATCCTGGGATAGTGTAGATTCTAAATTGTAAAAATCATGACCCCGGGGGTAGGGCAGGTGCCACAATAGGGAATCCAAGTTTTACATTGAAAAATCTTTAAAAATCTTTAAAAATCTTCTTCTCAAGAACCACTGGGCCAGAATAGCTGAAACTTCTGTGGAGGCATCCTGGGGTAGTGTAGATTCTAAATTGTTCAAATCATGA